GATAGTGTAAGGGACAGAAACTGCTCCAGCTGCTCCAAGGTGAGCCATCCCTGCTGGTGAGCATAGACCTGAAGAGCTTTCCTATGTGCACAATCCACACTGTGGTACATCATGTGAAAAATTACAACCGTGTTCTTCTTGGCAGCATTTTATATGAGGTGTATTTGGGTGTATTTCCTACTGGTGTAAGCTCCAACAGACACACCTCTGGGTGACTCTAAAGGGGTGTTTTATCAGAAATAAACCCTTTTCATTAAATGAGGGTGGCAGACTGATAAACCCAGCTCATCCCAGCTACTTTCCACTGGAAAAAAATCAAGGCTTACACTGCCTGATGTTGGACTCACTGAACTAGTTCAGATTTGCACTGGTGAAAGCCTGGCTGCAGGTAAGCCAGAAATAAACCCAGCTTGTGTTACTGTTCGTTTCTCATTACCTTTGACTTTTTGCTGAGCACACTTGGCTGTTGCTGGAGCTTTAGGTGCTGCTGTGCTGGGCACTCCTGGTACAAATCCCGTGCCAGCTGCAGCGAGGGCAGAGCTGTGCCAGCCCCTGAAGGTGAGCAGTAAGCGCAACAATCCCCAGGCACATTCAGTGCCTAATGAACATTTAGTGTCAGAGAGCCTGGGTGGTACCACGAGGGGCCCAAGCCCTGCACTGGGAGGGGTGTGCAGCACCTGTGTTTGTTTGCACTGTGCACCCCTTACCCTGCTCAGGGAACCTGTGGGTGAGATTCAGTGTGCAGGAGGCAGATGGCTGGAAGAGCAGGGACACTTGGGTTTGCCACATAAAGCAAGATATGCCATGAGAAGCAGCCACAGCAACAGGCCAGTACTGCCAGCTTTTGCCAGGAAGCCAAAGGCACACAAAGCAGCTCGAAACAGGATTATCAAGCCCACTGCATGTACCTCACCTATTCCTGTGTCTAAAGCACAGCTGGTTTTCTCCAAAATATAACTTGCCAAAATTTGACTATGCCTTGATAAGACGCTATGCAGAGTTGGCTATGAATGTTTATTAACATCACATGGAAATCTGAACTCCAGAGAAGACAAACACAAGGCTGTAACCATACCTACAGAGTCCAGGGAACCAATGCAAACTTTGTAGGCTTCTCCTTTGCAGCAGCAGAGTGTCTGGTGTTCCTCTTAAGTTTTCCTTCTATACAGGATCATCTCAAGTATCAACACTTTGTTAATGATTTAACTGAAAAAACTCTTTAGTTAGTGCTACTCTTGATCTGGATTGACTATAAAGGCAAAAGATGACCAGGATCCGGTTCTGCCGTGCAAAAGCAAACATTCCTGACGTGTTATGCTGGCACCTCTCTGCAGGGGCTGGAGTGCCACTCTGCTCTCCAGTGCTTGCACAGGTTAGACCTAATTTACTCAAACAACAATAAGCTCAATTCAAACCATATGCATAAACCAGTCATTCTCACAAGCACAGTCAAGGGTGTCACAGTAAAAGGTTATGGTTTCCAGAGCCCTTCAAAAGCCTCAGCCACAGAGCAGCGTTAATGACAGTGGAGGAACAGCACTGACATGAGGCTGGAGTGACAATCTTTATAACCAGAGCTGCATCTTTTTTCAGGTGAACCTCCAGAGCCCAGCAGCATAGTCTGAGGAGAGGCACAAGGATGGAACAGGAGAGTATCATTCAGCCTGGCAACAGCATTTTCTCCTGCTTAATTCTTCCTTTGATTCTGGAAAACTGCAGCTGACACTCTGTTCACCCACAAAACAGGGCCTCGACGTGACTGAGTAAGGGCCTGAAGGCTCTGCTAGTATTGTCAAGGTTTTCAGACTAAAGACAACAAATAATACTGTAAGTTGAGGCAACTTTTATTTAAACCTTACAAACAGGGCATTAGGGAAAAAAAACCACAGTGGCTTGATGTTGGGACCAGTTCTATGAATTAAGTGGAGTAAGAAATTAAAAAGGCACTAATCTTCAGAAAAGACACTCCATATATTCTAAGAATATAATTCGTTTAATACTGTTAATCTTGTAGCACAAAAAATAAAACAAGCTATGATCCCCAAAATAAATTTTAAACGCTTACACTTAATATTATTGCCTGAAGATCATAGTCTTTAAATTACATATTGTGTTTTAAAGTTCACACAGTGAAGACTGTCTCAAATACAAGGCCACCTTTCCCACTGCAGTAATTGAATCCCTGTCCCAGAACACACTTCAACACAGATAAACAGAAATGACAGCTCTACACGAACGCTCTCACTGGTCCCAAAAGACAGTCTTTTAGGCAGGTCTCACTTCCAAATGAAAGGATTGAGGAAAATGCTTGAAAACTCAACTAGAAAACCAAGGCAATCCACTCATTCCGAGGATGTTAAGACAATATAAAAAAATTACTTTACAGGCACATGAAATGGCACAAAGAATGCTTTTTTCCCTTTACAAAAATAATGCTCAGGCTCTGCAGAGCCCCAATCCAAACAGGATATTCCCTTTTGTTTATTCTTTCTCAATTTGTAAACAATCATGAACTAAATTAGCGCTTATCCAGTGATGGACACTGATTTAAACAGTTTTCATTTCAACTTTCAAACTGGTCAGAGGCTTCAATGTCTATATACACTGTACACAGCAAGAGGAAACCAAGCAAGAAGCCTCTCATGATAGTTAACTGTTGTGGCACCAGGTCATTACACCAGCTCCTAGTTCCAAAGTAAGAACAACTTTAATGGTGCATAGATTGAAGTAATCACTTGCAGGCTCTCATGCTTCACATGACGGATACCTCACACGCCCAAGAACATCTACACTGATAGGTCATCACTCCAATTTAAGAGGTTTCATAAAGCAACAGACAGCACACGTGTAAGCAAGCAACAAGCGATTGAGAATCCAGAGTCCTTCAAAGAGAAACACACTGATCAAATGAAGTCTTTATATGAAAATACTTGTCTCATAGTAAAATAGCAAAAACACATTTTGAAGCAAGGTTACAATCAGCTTAGGCTGGTCAGTATGCTACATTGAAAACCACATTTTACATACCTGAACCACAGCGCTGCTGTTCCGAGAAACACTGTTCATTTGTGGCCTGAAACCAGGTTCACAGAAGTTTAAGAATTCTTGTCTTTGCACCAGATGCCACTACACACAGATTTTTGCATAGTTTGGAAGGTAAAATATTTTGCTTTTCTGCAGTATCAGAACATAATTAAACCTAAGACAATGTTTGTGTTCAAAGCTTACACCTTAATTCCATGAGAGGATGAGTCAAGACATTTATTTCAGTGGAAAAAATCAGGTTAAAGGCTGTGTTCAAGGTCTCGAATCTCACAGTATTTATTCACTGTGCAAAGGAAGAATTCTACGATCAGTCTTCTGAAGAGCTGCCTGTAAGTAGGTCAGGTCTGAAATAAGATTTCTCTGCAGCAGACTGAGTTTAGTGCAGTTTCTGTATTCCAAAGATGACTTTCAGTAGTACAATCTGTGTAGTAAACGTATGGGTATCGTTGGGGCACCGAAGAAGCAATGACCTTCTTTAGTTAAGAGAGCTGCATAGCTTTTCTTTGCAAGACAAAATGTCAATGCCTATTGTCAAGAATTACAGCACCAAACACTTCAGTCAATGCTACTCTACTTCACAGTTAATTTGGTAGTAAAATGCTCTACAAGAACTTCTAGACTGTCAGCCACTCGATCAATACTACGGAAAACAGCTAACAGATGAACGGAGACGTCTTTTAAACGTGGCATTGTGAACCTCTTGTTGCAGATGCCATTTCTGCAGTTCTTCAGTGCCTTCCAGCTAAGGATCTCGTGGCACTTCCACATCAACTAAGAACCACGTGCTTTTATTAGGATCAAGCAACACAACTCAACAGGAAAACATGCTGGAACTTAAGACAATGTTTATACCATTTGACATCTACAAGAACTGTTGAGATTCTGCAGGTGTTTGAAGTTTCTCACTTGGCTACAACCGACAGCCTTCGTAAGCTGAACGATGGGGGTTGCTGCTCTGCCAGCTTCCACACCAGGCATTTGCTGTCTGAAAAGGGAGGGTGTGTAGTTGTAGCCTTTGCAGACATGTATTCTGTTAATTCAATGTTCCATCATTTTACAAAGAGCATTCCAGTTCACCTACAACTTGGGTTGGCAGAAGGTGGCACAGGATACCACTGTCCCTACTGTGCCCAGGCTCAGGATGTGCAGCTGCATGGCATGAACTGCACTCACTCAGCTGCAGCCATACAGTCCCTACTGTAAGTACAATTACAGCAGGATAGCTGAGGTACAGAAATAGGGAAGAAGCTGCACTGGTGACAGACACCTCTGTGGCCTCCTCCAGCCTGAGCAGTAACTTAGCACAGGGGGGACCCAGGCAGCTGACTCCAATGAACCATCTCCTAGAGGATGCTGGGAGGGGAAGGGACCTGGGGCATACACAAACCAGAGCCAACTCACTTGGAAGGGTACTAAAAGATGGCAGCATGCAGAGGACTTGGGATACAAGCATGGGAAAAAGAAGGGGAGGAGAAAAGAAGATGAAAGCAGCTCTGGAAAAGAAGCATGGCAACACAGACACCCTAGAAAAAGGTACTGTGTTTGAAAAGGAGCTTTCAATGAGCTGGGGCTGGCATAGCTAGGAAACTTGGGAGAGAGCAGGGAGCCTGAAGAGAAATGGATGTAAAAGGTGTTTAAGTAAGAGGATTTTATCACTATTTACCGAGCTTTTCTGTCCCACTCCTCTCCTGCCTCTCCACACCATGGCAATCTGATCAATCAGTCTACCAAGTGACAGCTGGGTGACAAGCACTTCTATGCTAGTCAATGTACACTTTCGACACTGCACAAGAGCTGTATGTAGACCAGGCCAAAGTGTTTCCCCTCAAAGCTCACTTTCTACAGTTAGTGCTTGCAAGAATCAACAGAAATGCATTAAATATGTCAAAATCAGGTTACAAGTATCAACCCCTCCTAAGTTTCCTTATAAATAAATGCCTCAGCTTCAATGCAGCTCAATCAATGGTTATTTGCATTTTACACACACTGTTTCAAGAAGGTCAACAACAAGCTCAAGAGTTAACAGAAAAGAGCAGTGTCTAATACAACTGCTTAGGATACATAAGCTCCAATTATTGTCCTTTAAAGAGACCATCATTTTAAATGTACTACCTTAGGAGAGGTCGGTTTAAAACTAAAATCTTCTTCAGTCCTAAAATTGCATTTTTGTTGTTGCTTTTTGTTGGGACAGTAATGCACGAGTTGTATGTTTGATCTAAGATAAGGGCTCTTCCTACTGAGCAAACCAAAAAAAGTCCATCAAGTCTCTACAGGAAAGGTATTCTTCCCATACCTCTCTGCTACGTTCCGGTTCAGTCTTCTCCAGCTTAAGGCCCAATTTAAAAGTGAAACTAAATTCTGGATGACGCAGCTATGGTATGAAGGTCAGGCAGTGACTTCAGTTGTATGTACTCCAAACGTATATTAAAAGAACTGTCAGACTGAAGCAAGCTGGAAAATGGGCAATGCTAGCAATGTGCCATTAAGTCATCGTCTGACCTCAAACAATGCTAATGATAGCCAGGAAAATGAAGCAGCAGTGTATATCGGGCACAGGGAGTCACTCGTTCTCCTCTGGGTTTTGAGGGTCAAATATTTTGACATGTGTGAAAGGGAAAAGCCCTTTCCGACCGTTGACTTCTCCTTCCCACTGACCGTTTATATTCATCCTTGTAACCTTCACAATGTCTCCAACCTGCATAATTAGGAAAAAAAAAGAAATTATCACACCTGGGAATCTCACCTCTGATACAAATCCAAACCAAATGAAGAGGAATAACATATACAAGCCCATCATTGGGAAAGAAACCTCACCAACTTCTTGGCTAAGGTTCAATTGAAAAGTTACTTTTACTTAACTGAAATACCAATACTTGGCTGCTGAACATGCTCATGTTTTCTGTACTCTCAGACTCTTCACTAAATGTATATTTAAACAGACAACTTACTGAACTACACCTGCACCTACAGCAAAGCTGACAGCTTCAGGCAACATCTTTAGCTTAGATATCAATGACCACACTAAAGCCATCAGCAATGAGCTGCAACATCCATTTGAAAGAGCTCAGTACTCAGTTTTAGCATCAGCTGACTTAAAGGAAAACCAGTTTTTTAAAGGGAGATTCCTAAGGCAAAGAAACCACTACTTGAAGTTCTAGTTGTGATTATCACAGTCTAAGGACCTTCTGTAGTTTCTAGAATAATGGTACACCAAAGCAGGCAAAAGCAACCTCAGACCTTTCTTTTCTGAATATTAGAGGTACAGATTCTCTAGCTTTGATGTTTTCACCTCTACATCCTGCCAAAGAACTGGAAACAGGAATTATGACATGTCAGGCCTTTCCTACCACAACTCTCTCTCTTCCTATCTGGCAGTAAATGAGAAAAGCCTAAACTATGGTCAAGCAAGAAACATCAGCCCAAATGGTAAGTTATACTCTTACTGTTCAATACCTGTATTTAATTTAGCTTAGGACCATTCACAAAGCAAAACACCCAATCTGAAGAGCAGCTTTTATGACTAGCTATATACTCATTCTGCCTTAAATGCTTCAGGACAACTGAACGTGTGAACACGTGGTCTGTTGCAGCAGCTCTCTAACTTTCCACCTCCCTTCCTGTTTACTTAATTGACTCTATGTGGTAACTAAATAAATACTAGAAAAGTGGCGTTAGCAGCTAAGAACTAATTTCACACAAGTAGAACCAGCACATAACCAGTGGCTAACAGTTCACAAGTTTCTTTCCCAAACTAGGTCCAAGCTCTTTGTAGCTGAGTCTCAGTTACCAAATTACTGCTGTGAAATTCAGAAGTTTGATTTTATTCTTATTTAAGGAAAAAACACACTAACTCTGGGCCAACATCACAACAGTTAAAATCTAGTAAGAAATTGCACTTGCACCACACCATAAACTCAGCTCACTCTCAAACCTTTTAATCCTAAAAATCATCTGTAGTGCACTGGATCCAAAATACGGACCTGCATTTTCTGAGAGTCTGACAATGGAATTCTGTTCATGTGCTGTAGAGACCAATCCATTATTTGCTCTGAGGCTCTAGAAAAAGATATCCTTCAATCTGGCTCTGACTGAGTTCACAACATGAATGGGTTTGGAAGTTTTGCTTCAGCTGAGTGAAAACAAATATTTAGGAGATGTCTGTTATGGCATTGCAACAAACTGCCATGTAGATTAGTAATGTAAAACATTCTTTACATCCTACACTGCAGGGTGGGCAAAACTGCTTCACATCAGCATCTACCACTACAGAGAGCTGGCTGACGAGCTACTCAAAAAATACCCCATGTGCCAAGGCCCACTGGAGTTGTCAACTGATTCGCAATAACTTTACACTATTTTTGAGAGGTGTTTCTTTTAAAATGAAAGCTTCTGAATATCCTCTTGTGCTGTATTATTAAAAAATCCCTTTCTCCTGAGATGATGAAATGAAACAGCATGTTGAAACAAGATTTTTTGGAGCAGGAACCTTGATGTCATGACAGATGATATGGATCTTATGTTAAAGACCTTCACTCTGACAATGTCTAGAAGAATCTGGCCAAGTAGTCCCTCTGTGTGTTTTCCCTGTGAGTATTAAGTACAAGCAGGATTTGGTTCAAACTTTTAAAGCATCTATAATATGGTCAGCTGAGGTGTGATCTCCCACTGAAATTATTTAGCACACTGTTTTTTTCAGAGAATGCTTTAAGCCAGTCAGAAGGATTGTCTTATGATTAGGCACAGGACAGAGTCAGGAGACCTGGTTCTATTCTCATCTCTTCCACAAACTTCCTGTATGACTGTGGACAGCTCATGGCCCTTATCTATAGATTAGGATAACACTTTCCTAGGGCCAGTGCCCCCAGAGAAGTGAATTCAGTTGTAAAGCACACAGGCATCACTGGATGGAAGCATCACTGCTGAAATGAGTAATACTTCTGAAATGCAGCCATTTGGTTACACCCACATGATAAAAATCAAAATGTATTTTAGATAGCATCTTTCATTATGTCCCTGTTAGAGACTGAATTCAAAGCCCTGGAGAAACACGAGCTGTGGAGCATAGTCAGAACAGAGTCAGAAAGGTTACTTCATTCACTCTAGACTCTTCCATACCTGTCTTCCATTTAAAGCTGATTCATACTCTGCAAAAGGTTTCCTGCATGCCATTTTAGTCACACAGTCAACCAATTCAGTGAGTTTTACAGATGCTCAAACAAGTCTATGTTTAGAGTTCTATGGCTCATAGAGTTCTGTAATATAAGTTTAAGGAGATAAAAATGCAGGAAACTAAATCATTATTTTAGCCCACTGGGTCACTACTACAGAAAATATTGCTCCTACAGGGTCTTGAATTTCACTCATTACCCTAATTAGTGTCACAGCTCACCTCTGGTAACACTAGCATTAGCACCAAAACCAAATCACTGCTCAGACCAGCTGCGTGTCTGGAGAATAAAAACATGGCCCAACACTGAGAAACTACTCAATATCCCATGTCCCAAAAAGGTATGAAGCTACACAAACCAGGCAGAGTTCAGCCACACTGCAGACAGGACAAAGGGACACTGATGGCACTGGTGCTTTACGTACTGGAAGATCCAAGAAACCAACAGGCTGAAAGCACAGCTTAGTCATCCTTCACTTGTGATGTTCTGTGCCAGAAGAACAACAGTTGGTGCCCAAACCAGAGAATCCAATAGTTCAGAGGAAAGACCTTCAACCATTCATGAGACATGAAAGAAGGTCAAAGGGCAGCATAGAAATGCTGAAGTCCTAGATGCAATTAATCTAGCCTCATCTAGGAACATGGAAGCAAAGGAACTCTGCATTTCACCTGTAGTTAGGCCAGGTGTCAGAGTAGGGGCTGCCACCAAAACCATGCTGCTTTTCATTAAAAGATGGTAGCCTGTCTCCCTTGGGTTAAGCAGCTGTGATGACTGTACAGAATTTGGAGAGTTCACTTTCAATTCAGTAGTTCTAAGAATTAAAGCTCCTCAATCAACACTTCACACTACACAGGTATGGCATCACTAGTTTGCTTGAAGTCCAGACCTTGTGGGTTAGATCCATTTGAGTGTTTTACACAGCAATGCTAAGTTTCCTTAGCTCAAGAAAAACACAATACTTGGTGTCTACTGAAAGAATAGCCTAATTTCCTAATTAAGAAAAGTTCTACTACTAGCACATTTTGGCCTACTTGTCTCAACTTTCCTTTGAAGAGGGAAAAAGGTAACTGTAACCTAATTGTACCAAGCTCAAGAGAAATACTGTAAGTCAGTTATATAATTATGGTGAGTGTATATTTATTTCATGAAAACACTTCAATGACAGGTTAACTCTGTACTAGCAAACATACATCACAAAAAGAGAAACTACTTCACACTGTAATGCTGGCACAGGTCTATAAAACCTTTATTGTAAAAGTATAGTGCAGCTCTTGTTTTAAAAAAATACATCTTTGGTTCTATAATGCTGTCATGTTAAACCTGGAGATGAACTGTAGGACTATTACTGCCTTCAACAATGGTCTAAGACACTTATTAGAGCATTTGCAATATATCTGAGAAGCATTTTTTAAACACATGACAGGCATAAGTCTAGAGGTTGCTGCAGGTCTCCCATTTTCCAGTTCCTTATGCCACTTCATTCCATTTTGTAAGTGAATCTGGAATTTGTTTTTCATGTCCTTGTTAGAGCTTGTCAGCTTAAAACAAAGCTTCATTAGCACATTATTGCTAACAGGCTGAATACAGAACAACTACTGCTTATTAAATGCTGGAAAACTTTAAGGTAGACATTGCTGCTGTGTGCCATAACAGTGCCAAAGAGACTCTGCTCTTGCAAAATGCATCACCTTAAAGTGCTGTCCAACCTTTGAAGATGGGACTGCCCTCCTGGTGTTGCCATAGTAAAGCAGGGTTGAAGCACAGCACTACAAAACCCTCTAATGTAGAGTCCTAGTCCCAACAGACACAGGACACCATGTCACTGTCCTTCATATTCCTTCCTCTAGAGCACCAGAAAGGAAGGAAATAGCTTCTTGGCTAAAAGCACACAAGTAGAGACACAGGGTTGTTGGCTGTTGGGCTTTTCAGTTGTGTGGTTGGGGCTTTTTTTAATTTTTAGTTTGTGGTTTGGGGTTTTTTTAATGTAGTACCCATGAAAATTCTACAGATATCAGTAATAAGGTCAGTTGTAGTGAGAAACTACAGACTTCAATCATTTCATTAAAAACATTAAAGGTAACTAGCTCAACTGACAATGGCATATGTAAATCTGAAAAATGTATGTAATTTATCATAGGCTTTAGTAATTGTTCCCTGGTGCAGGGAGATGCCCAAAGTTACACATACCACCAGCTGAGACAGTAGCCATACTTAAAACTGCCATTTCAGTCTATAAACAGATTATAATGTAATTTTTTGTTTTAGAGAACAGAAATAGAGTATATAACACAGTAGGATCAAGTCAACGCTTAGACATTAGTCACTTCTGTAATACCAATACTGTTACCCAGAGAGGCTGTGAACTTCCCATTCCTGGAGGTGTTCCAGGCCAGGCTGGATGTGGCTTGGAGCAACCTCGTCTAGTGGAAGGTGTCCCTGTCTGTAGCAGGGGGTGGAACAAGATGATCTTTTAGGTCTCTTCCAAGCCAAACCATTCTGTGATTCCATATGAATGCTAAATGCCCTATTAACTAATATCACACAGAAATAACAGAGCAGTTGCTCTTAAACTGTCACACTTTAAATACTACTTAAGAGCTGAACACTCTAACCAAACAGATCTGTTTTCAGATTTTCTGTAGAATATTCACATGTTTTATATTTTCCATGTGAGAAATTTAAAGAAACTAAAAATTATACAAAACAAACTTCTCTGTAACAGGCTATGAGTCTTGATCTTCTCTTAAAGGAAAATTCTGTCAGCTTATGTAAACAAGAGTGTACAACAGGAAAACTGGCCTCACAAGCAGGGAGCTTGTCCTGTGTTCATGCTGAACCCGGGAGAATGACATCCCTCCACTTAAAAGGAAGTCGAGCAGATTACTATGCAATAGCTTTATTTACTCCAGATGGTCTTCTCTTCCTTTTAAGTCTTGTCTGTGTGCTGACCACAAAAACCTAGACCCAGCAAACAGATATTTTGCTCTTGTATTATCAGTTTAAATGAGATTGCATAACCAGGAACCATATGATTATAGTAACAAGGTGTTCCACCTGTACAGGCTGAACTGCCATTCAGAGTACACCTGTACTAAGGTGGAGTGCTGTCAAATAATATTTTGGTGAAAGAACACCATTAACTTTCTTCCCCAAAACATTCCCATAACCTGTTCTTTGCTGCTTCCAGTGGTATTACAAAACAGGAGCTTCAAATGATTCAGATTTAGTAATGTGTAACCCTGACAAGGCTGGGATTAAATACACCATCAGGGCCCTGCAGGTGTTTGGCAACATGAAGGAAGATCATGAAAAGAAGCTGAGCTTTTTTCCTTTAAGAATAGCCCATGTGACAACAAAGTTTCCTATGCATGGATATACATGGAGAAGCTGTGATCACTGACTTCAATGAAAATGTAGATCAGTTCCCAGCATTCTGCTTCTGAAGCCTCTTGAGAAGCCACAGGGTGGATAAGGTGCACTTGCAAAGAAAACAGACTGCATGGGAAGACAAAATATGCCAGTGCTGGGAGACACAAAGACATGAAGCAGTAAGTGATTAGTGGATGAGAAGAATCTCTCAAACAAAACTTCAGCAATTTGAAGGTTCAAAACAAGTCAAACTTCTGTGTTGGTCAGAAAGTTAATCCTATTGGTATCCTAGAGTAGCTCAACTGATGGGATTAATTAGATCACTTCAAGAGCAAGTCAGGAAAGTCCATTTGTGAGAGAGCCATCCTTCCAAGTGGCTCTGCTACCCTGCAGCAATGCAAGTTCCCTGAAGTAATTCCATGACACACTGATAACATAACAAAATCAATCGCTTGCCTTGCTTTATTTTCAGAAGCAGGAGCAGTTTTGGCAGGAATCTTCTGTACAGTGCACTTGGCAGGGAATTTACACTTTGTTCTATGATAATTTTCACACACTGTTCATAAATAAGCTGCTAGATTTCATAAGACACAAAGAAAGTCCAGAGATACATATTTAACTTTTAACCCCTTAAGAGTAATCACCTGTAGAAGTTTTACAAAAAGGAAAAAGACTTAGGGCATGTTATTATGAGTTAGTGGAAGTCACAAATACAACCCTCCAAATTTCAGTCAAAAGTACCAGCCATAGGCAACAGCTTTAACTTGCAAAGTAATTGAGCAAAAGCAACAGGAAAAGTTCAAAAGTATTTTTTAAACCACTATTATTTACCTTGCTAAAATGTTGTTGCTTCCAACAATGAAATGCTTGTTTCCATCCATTTGTTCCTCAAAATATTGTCATACTCTCCAATTTCACCTTAGAGACCAGCACCTTTTCCAGGTGAGACACTTGAACTACAGGTTAACTAGCCTTTAGTATAAGCTAAACGTAAAACCAACACTCTGTTCTTTAAAAAAACTTCTTCCAATCCATAATTTATTCCAGTTAAACTAGAACTGTAACATGAATTCTTCACTATTTACAGGATGAAGTCCTAAAGTCTTAAAGACTAATAAAAATAAAAATTGCTTTGGCAAGCACAGAAACTTCCAGACAACTTGAGAGGTTACACCATACTCCATATCTAACCTCCTTGCCCCCAACTTAGGTCTTAAGGTTTCTCAATTTCTAATCCCTTTTACTTTGGTTTTCAAAAGTGGAATGATTTTGATAGATTCTGCCCAGACTTCAGCTCTCACAGCTGAGGGTCAGAAAGACTGTGTGTATTAGCAATCCTTACTTTTCCCTGAATGATGCTACTGCCAGTTCTCAACCTAGAATACTGCAATGATAATGAAACATCTTTCCTTCCCCAGGATTAAGCAGAGAAGCAAAGTCACCCTCTCACTAGCACTTACTTCCACAGCAGCACACACACACCGCTACCCTTTTAACATTTGCACAGTTGAACAGGCAAGAAGGGAGGGGAAACAGAGGTCCTGAAGTCACTGACTTGGTCACTTTTCTCAGAGGAAGTGGTATAGATGAAGCAACTTCTGTTGATCTTTCTTCACAACGTAACCTAACTTCTTCTCAGTCCCTCTGCTGACTCCAGATGAAGTCATCCACACCAACTTCACCACTAACAAGTACTAGTTTCTTTTTTGACAAGGCAATTGAAAACCCTAGCCCTGAGGGTAAAGACTTACCTCTAATGCCAGCGCAGTCTTGTCATAAGCACAGGGTACTCTCTTTTGGATAGCTTTGGCATAGACTGGTCCGTTCTGTGTTGATGGCCGAGGGGTCATGACTGCTCCAGGTGTGCTGGATACTGAGGGAAGGGGATTTGCTGTTTGAGGCTGAGCATAGGCATGGGCAGGTTCTGGAATACCGTAACTGTTGGAATTCCTGTTTCCATGCTTCCCAAGAGATCTGACTAGCTTTTCTACGTAAGGAACAGGAATCATCCCAACCCGACCATCCTTGTTTCTGGCACTCCACCACTGTTCTTCTGGCTTCTCTACAATTACCAGTATCTCGCCCTTTTTAAATGGAAGATCCTCAGCATCGTGGCCGAGAAAGTCATAGAGAGTCCGAACATACTCCACATTTCCTTCTGCAGTGGACATAGCAGGGGCAGTTCCAGATCCCATTGGTGGACTTGGATACCTAAGTTCAAAGAAGATTTAGTAAAAGCAATAGCTATTGGTTTGTGTTTCCAGGAACAAAGCTAAGTACCAGTTTTACAGTAGGAACAGCAATTAGAGGAGAATTATTTATTCAGCTTTGTAACAGAAGTATTGGCTTGGTAGCACTGTGAGGCATTTCATGAGTAATAACTCAAGCTCTCAAGTAGTCACTTAAGTACCCAAAGTAGCTTCCCCAGAAATCCAATTAAAACCTATCATGTATGCAGAAAACTGGGAAAAATAATGCTAAATCTTCATCCACCTATTTTGGACTGCTGTGAGGATCTTAAGAGTAAATTAATTCTATAGCTTAAGTTATGAGAGGCATGATCCAGAAAACCAAATGAAAATTATTTGAGTGACTGGGATGGAAGGGCAATACATAAAAATGTAGCTGTGAATCTCTCCAAGAGCCTCTCCAGTCTACGTCCCCCAATTATTTTAGTTTGTTTTTACCTTCAGCATCCACTTGTAAAGGATTCAGTAACTCTACGTGCTAGACTTGACGTGCCACAGTAGAAAAAGGGAACAAAAGTAAGGATGGTATGACAAACACAGTTGTCTAACTCAACCTAGAAGTCCAATGCAGCATCTTTCTAACTGAACCCCACTACTTATAAGCAGAATTTGGGGCAGCCAGTCACACATACACTCGAAACTGCTTTAAGAAAAAATGGAGGCCCCTCCTATGTTTTTAGGAGACAACACTGTTCCTCTTTTCTGGAAAGTAATAGGAATTAACCTCCGAATCTTATTTTTAGAATTTGAACTCTCAAAGGGTTGTTAGAAAAAGTATTAGTTTCAAAGTACTAATCTCTACTGCATTTTAATACCTAATAACCTGAAAGTGGAATCTTCACAAAAGACAGCAGGAAATACTTGCATCCACTGGTAAGAAGGGAGCAAGAAATAAAAGCTAGCCTTCTGGAAACATTCCTGTGTCTGACAAACCACAGTATTATCTTAAATTTTTTCACATAATTGTTTATTACTGTGTCCATCATGTATCAAATACAGTCACTTTGCTGCCTGTGATAATATATAAGGTTGGTCATCAAATGAGACTATTTTCACTGCAACCTATTTTCATCATAAATGTTCCTACATTTTATTCAAAGCAGCTGTCAGAAATCTTAATGGATATAGGCCACAGCAGATACTTATATCTAAGCTATGACAGCAAGAATGCATGTCATTAGCCTACTTCAATTCTCTTTTGCTACTTGCAAAATAAAATCCAAGTCAAATCCCTATGATTTTTACAAGATATGCCAGAAGGCCTAAACAGAAAGTCAGTCAATCTTTCAGACATCCTGCTGCAGCCAAAGCAGGGGGAGAGAGGGAACCCTTCAGGAGCAGTCACTCTGCATAAGCAAGAGCTCAGGAACATCTGCAATGATGGTCAGAGCTCACTATTAGAGGCACAAAGCAAATAGGAAGTTTAAACCAGTTCATTTTCAACTGCTTTAAAAGTTTAAGATGTCATTTCTTGTGGGGAGTGGCCTGGCTGCATTCAGCAAGGCTCCACCATGTCTGGGCTAGTCAGGGGGTGTGTTAGGACTTGTTGCCTGAGGGCCTTGGGAGGAGTAGGTGTGGAGATGGGACCCTTGAACAGAAAGCGCTGCGTGCTGGCTCACCAGCCCCGAGTTGGGAAGTTGCTGGGGTGAAACAACAAGTTGTGCCTTAGGTTGACCAATTGGTACACACCTAATGTTTAGAATAAGCCAATCAGCAGGGAATATGCTAAGCAAAGGGACTCTAAGGATCTGTGAAAAACAACAATAAACGGACATGTTGCTTGCATCAAGTTGCGTCCCGTCTCTCCATCGCGGCAATTTCTGAGATCTAAAAGTATATGCAGCTAACTGCTTAATCCTACTGCAAAAATCACCTTTCAGACTCTACTTTATGGAATTAAAAGAATGAACAGACCAGTACCTGAGTTCAATATGCCCCTGAAAATTCCAGCAAAATAAGAACTAGCATAACAGGTCTGAAGCACATAGCTGTCCACCCCTGTTCTAAATCCAGTCCATTAACTAAAAACATATTTAAACCAAACCCAGACATGGTCCCTCATCCTCTCTCCTGCAGCAGGAAGTCTCCTCTCCACAGAACTGCAAACCATCAACCACATCATTGATTCCTCTAAGAGTTTTAACAAAAATAATGCAAAGGAAAACCACCTAGTCTATGCCATTTGTAGCTTTATTAAAAAGCCTGTCAGTTCACAGCAGGTTAGGTCCCATCTGTCTCTGTGCTGACAGAACAATCAAAACCTTGAAAATAAGGTGGCACTAAAATGTTCACAGAACAGTTCACGCAAGACTCCTAAGAAATAGTAAGAGAGCAAGTGGAATTAGCTCTATGTTTTCAAGTGTTTTGAGAAAGCCAAGTCAGTCATGGCCATAAATGATTAAGTGCAAGTTCTTACATCCAGAAAGGTACAAGAGCATCCAGGTTAAGGAGAACAGAGATAAGCATAAAGATTGCTTTGGCACAAGCCTTTTTTGCTCCCAACTCTCCACAAGTTTAAGCATGCACATGACACTGGGCAGCTCCATTTAAGCAT